AGAATTCAATGCTTCCGTTTGCCAAGGTCCCCTAGGACATGACTGGTGGCTTGCGAAAGCTGGGGGTGTGGAATAATGCAGTATGTCTGTCCTCAGGACAGAGATTTCAGCAAAAAAATCAATAAAATCGAGTATTTTGTCAGGCTCCTATGCTATCTTTGCTTTTTACTTGTTTTCCAAAATAAAATCATTCTATAACTTCTGCTTCATGAATCTCACTGCCAAAAAGATTTTTAAACATTGTATAAACAGAGGTGTGTTCCAACTATGAACACTTAAGGGAGATACACAATGTTCTAAACTTAAAGTACTGGAGCAGTTCCTAAAAGCTTGACAAAAATATCTACAATGTAATTCTTTCTTTCCAATAAAATGTTATCATGTCATTAATTTTACAGACACTGCTTAATAATCTGTGGTAATTTATCCATCCTGAAGGGGGAGGATGCACTTCACACCGTACCTGCTACAGTGCAAAGTTCACCAACACAAGCGGTGATTGCAGGAGGAATAGTTAACTAGAGTCAACTGGAGACTTTCTATATGAATAGCTCCTGTGCTAATCACAAACCGCAATTACCAAATTGTTAGAGTAGATCTTTCAGGGCTATTACTCAAACAACATTCCTAGGCAAATAGCTTTATTTTATTATATATTTACAAGAAACAAAAAGTTGCATTGTTTCAACGCAGGGCCATACTTACCCTAGAAGGACTATTCTTCCCATGGCAGTCAGAGCTCAATCAAGTCGGCCCTCTGTTCTAAACCCTCTACCTTCCCGTGCCTCTTACAATAACTCCCACTTCCTTGTACAAGCTCTAAAGGGCTTCTCTTCCCTACACGACACGCTGATATCCCATTCCTTGACCTCATCTCATGAGGTGATTCCCTCCCTTATGGCACCCCAATCTTCTATATTCTATCTCCCCAACCTGACCTGCCATTCTTCAAACACACCTGGGATGTTGTGTTCCCAGACTGTGCTTGATTTCTCCTTTACCTGGAACACAGCTCCTCCTTACCCTGTTCCTAAGCTCAAACATCCCCTCTTTAGAGAATGAATCCACCCAATAATTGCCTACTGCCTTGCTTTATTCTTCTTCATGGCAATTACCCCCCTGACGTGATATACATTCATTTGTCTCTCTGGCTAGAATGTAAGCTCCACAAGCACAGGGAGCCTAGCACAGCACCTGGCACACAGTATATGCTCAATTAACATGTTGACTGTATGACTAAATGTTCTAGCAGTGTTGATTGACCTACATAGTCAGGCCTAGTTACCTCGGCTTTATTGCACTGTTCATTATTACTAGATTACTAGATTTTTTGTGGAATAGTTTAACTGAATCTGATTGACAGAGAATTTCATATTTTTCATCCTTAAATATGAAATAGAATAATTTAATAATTAATGATTTTCTACAATGTATTAGGCACTGTGCTTTCTATAGTTTAGTAAAAAAGACACAGTTCTACCTTAAACATTAACATGTTTAAACATGTTCCTGCATTCTCTGCAAATGCGGATTTTAGCCTAAGACTAAGCAAAGAAGGAGAATGTCAACATATTCTATTGATATTTAAGATCTTTCCTACACATACACATACAACCCTAAAATATAAATCATACTCTCTTCTTTAAAATATTTATGAAGTCCACCAACTCTGTGGGATAAAAACAGCTTTCTTTGTTCCTCTTTCAACTGACGAGAACTCAGAAGCTTGACAAGTGGCCAACTTCATACAACCCCGACTCCCCAACCTGACCTGCTGAATTCTCCCTCCCCTCAAAAAAGCAAAGGTTCTCAAGTGACTTCAGTTCAAATACTTCACAAATATTGACTACCTGTCACATTCTGAGTTAAGGACTTCAATAATGTGAGCTATAATTTTTTTTCTTTTAAAAATGACATAATTCAGGAGGGATTCAGGATGACAAGGCAGAAGGGGCAGTTCCAAGGGCATTTTGGAGGAGGGGACCAAAATCCAAGGCAGCAACAAAACCAACTGCAGCTTGAGGGATGTTTTATAATCTGTATTTATTCATTTTCATTGAAATTTTTGAAATACTTAACTTCATGGGATGTTTTATGGAATACACAGATTCTAATACTTTAAAATACTTTTAATAAAACTTACATTAGACAATAAGTGGTAAAACTTAGGACACACTCAATCCTGAAATGCCTCTCTTCTGTTTCAACACCAGAAAAAGTACTCTTTAACAACTGTGTGTCAGAACAAACAATTAGAAAGAGTTTAAATGTCTATCTAGAAAAGAAAGGATAGATACTTTGGTCTGCACAAATTCAATGAAATATCAGATAGTGGTTGTAATAAACAAGCTGAAGCTACATGTTTTAATATGGAGAAATGTAAAAAACATTAGACTTAGAAAATAAATCACAGAATTGTGCATACTGTTTTATATTCGTGTGGATTTTAAAAGTAGTAAAAGTGTATTTTCGAACTCATGCAAAATACACTCAAATAAGTACTAAATATATAATGCTAATGCATTCATGGGAATGATAATTTCTGAATTCAGGATGGCATTTGTCCAAGGAGAGGGTAGAGAGATATCTCAGAGGAGTACATATAACCTTAGCAGTGTCTGCACTATTTATTTATTTATTTATTTATTTTCTTTTGAGACAGAGCCTCAAGCTGTCCCCCTGGGCAGAGTGCCGTGGTATCACAGCTCACAGCAACCTCCAACTCCTGGGCTCAAGCGAGTCTCCTGCCTCCGCCTCCCAAGTAGCTGGGACCACAGGCGCCCGCCACAGCGCCTAGCCATTTTTTGGTTGCAGCCGTCATTGTTGTTTGGCGGGTCCGGGCTGGGGATTCGAACCCGCCACCCTAGGTGTACGTGGCTGGCGCCCCAGCCGGTTGAGCCACAGGCGCCGAGCCTGCACTATTTATTTTGATGGTCCAAAATGAATATAAAATGATATTATGATCTTATATATAGGTAGTGGTTGGGAACAAATGTTCATTTGTCTGTACTGTTATTAATTTGCAATTTCATAATAAAAGAAGAAATGAGCAAAAGTAAAAAACCCTTAGTTCCTTTCATAGGAAAAAGATAGGTACTAAAACTATTTCATATTTTCTAAAGATCAAGATTAAAGACGAAAAAAGGAGTTAGCCTTGTACACATATGATACCGTTGAGCCCTGATTTTAATGGGAAATAGTGAGCCATCCAGCTGTAACAGGCAATTTTGGCTGAAGAGGTTTCCCTTCTGAGCTCACACCCCGGCCTATCACCACTAGGAAAGTACACAGCTACCCATCACTCTATCCTGGTCAAGCTGAGCATGTTAATAGTTCAGCTTCTGGTAAAGCGAAAGTTGGTACAGACAAGACCGTTTCTAAAGCTGAGCTGCTCTGGCAGCTTTAAGCAACACAGCAGATAAACATGGTTTCAATCCCATCCCATTATGTGATTTGCAATTTCCAAAAAGTCCAAACTTCACAATTCCATTACTCAAGGTCATGCCAAAGTGAAGAGGAGCTTCAGGATACCCACAAAAAGATTGCCCCAAACCAAAGACACTGAAATGCAGGCTATCTAGGCCACTCTTGAGAACCTGTGTCAAATAAAACATGTCACTAAGTTTCAGGTATATGGAATAAATTCCAAGCACTGTGGCTCACCAAAGCTTCATACGAATGTGGTATTAAACCTTATCATACATGTGATGCTAACGGATTTAGCCCCCTGGGCCTGTTTGGGTTCATGTGCAGACAGTGTGGCCAGTTCTTCCCAGGTTCTACAAGAATTGTTAGATAGAAGGGCTAAGCTAATGGGAGGATATCTACATTGGGATAGGGCTCCGGGTGTAGTGACAGTTCTCAAGGGAGGAAGGGCAGTAGTTCTTAGGCACGGTTGGCTGAGTGCACCTGCTCAGAGGCAGAGGCAGACACCTCGCTCTGTGTGCCTGCATGACTGGACTGCATCTACACTTGTCTTCAGTGGAGACGAGAAGCAGTCTAAGGAAAAGCCAAATCAAAGGAAAACGAGGGAAGGGGAATTCTTTAAAGGTGTCTGTCCATCTCTTTTCTGCAGAGAAATGTGATATGCAGGGCAGGCTGTGGTAACAGTGGTGAGTGGAAAGAAACGTGAGCAGACAAAGGGCTGGAAGACAGTGGCCTATTCTGTACAAGGTGTGCAGCTCCCTCCCCCTTGGACTACAGCAACGTCTGCTCATCTTGCCTTAAATTGGGTGTCAGAGTTGAGAGAGGTGCCGTTCAGTTTCCCTGGGATCCTACCATGACTGACATCAACACCGGCAGTCTGTACGGAGCTCAGACACAATCATGCCACAGTGTAAGATTTTCAGCTCACAGCCATAGCACCAATGTGGCAAAGTTGATGTGTCTTGTGTTTACACAAATGTAAAAGTTGATGAAGGTCCCTTCTTCAGATGTTGTTGTGACTACAAGTAAACCTAATAACCTGCTGTCTGAGTCCCACGCAGAAGTCCACGTGGGCAGGGTGGACGGACGGCATGCTGGCAGGCCGGCCTATGCTCTGCTCCCGTCTCCACACCCTCCCAGGTGAGCGACATTACTGAGGGTCCACTGCACCTCAGAGTTCTCATGTACAAAGCCAGGAAAATAGCTCTTGTCCTGCCTAACATGAAGGAGTGAGGACCAACATAACATTTGGGAAGATGTTTTTAAAGCTAGAAGATAATATGCAAATGTAAGATATCATTTGTAACAATGGCAAAAATAAAACTCAGGAGAGAAAACTTGTATTTTTCACGAGGTACACGCTCTTTCTACAGTCTTTGCCTAACACCGACATGGTCATCACCATGCAATCAACTCTCCACAGAGGGATGTTCGTTGTCTTACTAACAAATACGAATCCCGAGAACATCTCTTAAATGATAGAAAGTTTCTGAATAATAAGTTCGGGTGATTTTTTTGATGATATTTTAAAGACATGAATTAAGTATCTCTTTGGAGATTTCCTGGGCACTGACATTTGCCCAATTCCAACCTGCAGCTTTTGCACTATGGCCAGTCTCTTCAAAGACGTACTCGTGCTTCATAGCGACACTGTTTCCATCCCCCCACACACACTCTCTCTCTCTAAATGTGACTCCAAGCAAAACAGCATAAAACATCTTGTCAGAGTTTTCAGTGGGGCATTTCCTTCCTTCATTCATTCATAAATATCTTTAACACTCACCAAGCACGGGGCACCACGCGCATCACCACAGAGACAAGCTGAACCAATGTTGGAGTCTGAGGCTGCACGTACTCAGGCTAGGTGCACTGTCATGGCTAGTGCACTTTGGGGCTGTATTGCAATTCTTTTTAAACACAGAAACCCTTCAGGTTGGGTAACGAATTGTATTTCAGTTTATCTGTGTCTTCTTTTGCATAAAGAGGAGTCTGCACAGAGGGAACCCAGTTTTATGATTTTCTATATTTTATCTTCCATTTCAGAATTACTTTCAGATAGGAGGGAATTATCTCATTTGCTTACAAATATTTATCTGAAATCTACTTCATCCGAGGCATCTTTAGAGGATGCTGAGTTTTAGAAGACAGAATCCATCTTCCTGCAAAAATTCACAGCTAAGAGAGGAAGACAAACCATAAAAATCACACACAACAAGACAATACCAGACAGTACATCATAAAGGCCCCGTGATGACAGACACGTCCTCAGGTGTCCCTAGAGACAGAGCCATTGGCAGCTGGTGGATATATGACAAGGGAAGAACTTTACTAAATCACAAATGAATCTGAAAGAGAAACTATCCACCTATCAATTCAATTTTCTGTTTCAGTATGGAAACAATAATGTTTGGGGAAACAGATCTCTCACTGCCATGGAGCGTATAGTTGGCTGATACCCTGTTCACAACTTTATGTAAGTAAAAATAGTGCTACTGAGCCGGGCGCAGTGGCTCACACCTGTAATCCCAGCATTCCGGGAGGCCCAGGCGGGTGGACTGCCTAAGCTCACAGGTTCAAACCAGCCTGAGCCAGAGTGAGATCCCATCGCTTAAAATAGCCAGGCATTGGTGGCAGGCACCTGTAGTCTCAAATACTAGGAAGGCTGAGACAAGAAAATCGTTTGAACCCAAGAGTTTGAGGTTGCAGTGAGCTATGATGTCACAGTTCTCTACCAAGGGTTACAAAGTGAGACTCTGTCTTAAAAAAAAAAAAAAATAGTGCTACTGGACATTTCTCCCTGTCTGTATTTCTTCTTCATTTAAAACATGGAGTAAATGCTGCACCTATTGAAATCACAATAGGAAATAAAGAATTTTTAAAAATTAAGAAAGGAATCCTAAAATGCTACTGCATAATTCTATCCTCTGTAAAAAAAGGGAAAGACCATCCCATGTCCTCTGATTGGATATTATTAGACAGTCTAACAGTGGCCCAGGAACAAGAGGGAGAATGCAAGGGATTGTATTACTCTATCCACGTTTATAAAAAGAAAAAATTAGAACAGGACGCCTTATGAATAAATCTTTATTACTTTTGAAATTATTGCTCCCAGCTATAGTTCTATTTATTTTCCGTAGAACCTCTGTAAGTTGACCACCCAGGGGATTGGTCAACATATGAAGGTGGTCAACACAGGGAACTAACTGATCATTCTGATATGTACATGTGGTGCATGTCGGGTCTGTGAAAATTAGGTCAATCTGAGGAGCTGTGGCTGTAGCAAGATGGTCAACTATGGAGGTTCTACTGTATAAGTCAAAAAAGACAAGTGTACTGTGTTCTAATCTGGAAATGCCTAAACTGCAAAGTTTATAAAGTTCTCATCTTCATTATATCTATCTGATCACTCTTATTTATAGAAGCATGCTCATCTCTCCAGCTAATCTGTCTAAAATAGGTACTTATATTGAACAAAACTTCAAGTTCCAGATTTCATACAATTTATCTGTGTACTGATTTATCAGTTGTGTGTGTTTCAAATGTAAGAGATTATCCATGTAAAGGTGATATTTTTTGTGTGTATTGAGAATGTATGTATGTATACATTGCAATGTTAAATGTCATAGAAAAAAGCCCACAGTCTACTGCCGAGAAAAACTTTCATTAAGCGTGCATGAAGCATGTATTTCTGAGCAATCAGCATACCCAAGGTGCTGTGCTGGACACCGTGGGGAAAAGAGATTTGTGAGACGTCTAATAGTCTAGCCTGTGCACGATGAAGCCCAAAGAGCAGCCACAGCTGTCACATCCCTGAAGAATGTGAGCTGTCACTCGGACAGCACGCCGGAGAGCTAGGCTCCTGGACACAGACTCCCGGGCTGCAGTCAATCTCCATGGGGCAGTGCCCGGGCTCAGATGCAGGCTGCTTCCCCTCTGCTGCTTAGGAATGAAGAGCTAAAGAAAGACCACGGGCAAGCCTGAGGCCGCAATGCACTCCATCCTCAACGCGGGTTGAGCTGTCAAACTCAAGCAGTAGCTAAAGGCAACGTGAACCTGGAAAATTGGGAAGGAGGATGTGGGGTTTATGTTTTTTGAGCAGGAGTATTACGCACTGCCCACAAGAAAAGAACAGAGTGATGCGGCTGCTATAAAACTGATCCACAGAAGAAAACGCAGAAACATTCCCCCTATGCTGCGGATGTAAAAGACCTCCTGTGGAAAGATCCAGATTTTAATTCAAGAAACTTCTCTTCAGGCTCCAGCTCAGCCTCTCGTGCTAGTTTGTGATTTGGAGGCAAACCTATAACTCTCTGAGCCTTATTTTCTCTCTGTTCAGAGGGGACAATATCTCAGTGTTAGGACAAAGATCAAAGGAATAAATGATTTTTTTGATTGTTGTTTCATTTTTTGCTAATAATAAGCCTGGTTATGAATATCCACTAGAGAGTATATCTGGGATGGGGATATGTGTCAGGGGTGTGTGTGTATGTGTGTGTGTGTGTGTAGTATATAATTATCCTTGCTCAACATTCCACAAGATACACATTATACCTACCCAGTCCGAGTTCTGTGCATCAGCCAACTCATCACAAGTTATGTGAGTTTATCTTGACAACTAGCCTCAGAGTCCCCTTTTCCTTCCGGTTCCCATTCACTGACTCCACTCTAATCCGGGTTCTCTCTCACTGGCTCAGGTCTGAAATACTATAATCCTGTCCAGATCTTCCTTCCAACCTTCATTCCTGGCTTACCCGTAGACCCACCTTCCTCTCAGATGGCTGCCTCTCCCTGAGCAGTGGAAAGAGTGAAGTGGAAAAAGAAGCGAAGTCTGACCCGAGACATCCAGGTCTAGTCTCGGTTGTGCCTCAAACTCCACCTCGCTTCACCTCTCTGGCCTTCAGTTCCCCTATCCATAGCTTAGAGATTGGTTCTAAACGGTTTCTAGGTCCCTTCCAAAATTGTCAGTTTTAAAAGTCATATTGAGATGACCCATCGACATTGTCCCTGCAAAAATATATAGTCAAGATAACTTTCTCAAATAGTGATCAGAATAGGGACGAATGGCAACAAATTGCTTTATCGACAGAGTGCTTTCCCCTCCTCCGCAGAACCTGCCCAGGTTAAGGATACACTCAAACCCACCCTCCCGCCCACAGCAGTGTAATTACAGAGGGCAGCTGGTCACGGCCCCCTCTATTCACTTCTATGATGCTCAGTCAAATGCAGTTAGGAGCTGGTGCTTTGCCCCATTCCCACACTCACGGGTGAGCCCCAGTGCTTCAGGAGTACAGGGACACAGTGAGAATATACAATTTCATCCCCCAAAGTGCGCTTCCCGACTATTTTTTGCCAAACAAAGTGGAATCATCAGATTTGGGGCCTTTCTTTTCAACATGAAAATGTAAGGATATACATTCTTGTGCATGTGTAGTTTCCCTTATCTATGATGTCAGTGTAATACGAGAGATACATTATGTTGTATCTTTTCTATATGATGTTGAAATTCTATCTGAAACCCGATCTCCTTACGCATGTTTCCCTCCTCGTCTCTTGCTGAGGACTTTTCTGTCAGGCACTATACAGCATGGAATGATCGGAAAGGGGGACCTTATGAGGATTTAAAAATATGACAGTAAAATAAAGCCAAACAATGAAACACTTGATCAGTTAATACAGCCATTATTTGGCTTGAAGAAAAAGATGTGCAAGAGGCACGCGGTGACAGACACTCGTGTCACATGGGTTCCCCCTGGTCTTTCCCTCCCTCAGTAACCAAACACCATCAATTACAAAATCCTAGTGCTTTAGATTACTGAACTTTTTCTATCAGTCATTTACTTGTGTTTTCACTCCCTCCTGGACAATGTCACAATCTTTAATTTTTTTTCCTGCCTCAGACTTCATCTTCTTCAAATCTATTCTTCCCACTGCAGCCCGAGCAATCCTTCCATAAAGGGCTCATCTCGCCACAGCACTCCCTTAACGAGCATTCTTCCAAAAGTTTCCACTGCCTAGAGAATCACGTAGTCGTGGCCTCCACAGATGTGCTGTTTCTTGACCCTATATACTTACACAGAGATCTACTCTCCCGGAATACCTTACCTCTCTCCTCCTCACCTGACTCATTCCAGCTGATCCTTAAAGAATTTGCAAAGACTTCACCTTTTTTTAGAAGCCTTCCCTGGGTCCACTCTGACAGCCTGGGGCTTCTGAGATTCCCTATATATATTTCTACTATGGTCTTTCCATGCTGTTTTACACTTGTGATGCGTCTGCGTCCTCCTGCTAGATTACGAGTTTGTGGAGATACTTATCTGGTACAGGACTCAGTACGTGAATCAATTACCAAATAGTTATCGAGCACATACAATGTATCTGGCACCATTCTAAGTGGCAGGGATATAGCAGTGCACAAAAGAGGTGGAAATCTCTGCCCTTGAGATGCTTACGTGTGCAATAACTAAGTAAATTATATATTATGCCAGGAGATGGCAAACTCTATGAGAAAAATGGAGCAGAGATGGTGCTGATGGGAGGGGCATTTAAATATAATAGCACGTGTTTCATAATTGCCATTAAGCCAGGATTTGAAACCAGTAAGAGCCATGAGGATGCTGGAGGGGAAGAAAATTCCAGACAGAAA